GTTTTGGTAGAATTCCACTCCTCATCAGTGAACCTGGATACTATTACCAATGAAATAATGAAATATCAATCCAAGCCTTTATAGTAGTGAGATATCGAAAATCGAACTGGTGTATTTAAGTGTTTTACACTCACAAAAAAGAAACCTATCATTTGACAAACTGATTACATATCTTTAAAAACTGCAACATTGCTAAATGTTTAAAGATGTCAGCCAAACCTTAAACAACATTTGAACAAAATACAAATGCACTTATGCTGTTCCCATATAGGATCAACCGTTAGGTACCCATTCATTTTAATTACAGACAATATTAATACAAAATTAGAATTAACATTAACTAAAGCTAGACTTAGATTAGATATTTGTGAACAAAATCATATGGACCATTGACCTCAAAATCAACATAAATCAGAGAAAATCCAAGAGTGAATTAAAAAGTTTCTGCAACATCATTGATTTTGAAATAGTCTATTTATTTACAAAAAAAAGAATGTTATAGTATGTATTCCTAGAAGGGTAGACAGTTGAAACTTATAGTTTTTCTGAAACATATTTTTTTTTATCTATCAAAAAAATATAGAATACTAGAATCTTTTAAATTTAATGCTTAATTCAGGTATTCCTGTATTTTGTATTCATTCATCATAAGGTATTATCCTGCACTGAAAACTCTAGAACAGCTAGAACACACCTATCTACCAAGGGTCTCTCGCTATAGATTTTCTCAGACAATGCAGTCAAGTATTCCAAGGCTTAGGGAACAGATTAAGGAGGCATCTATGTCAGAACTAAAGGATTTCTTAGAGAATATTCGTAAAGTTTCATCCAAACTTGGTGAAGTGGCAATGAGACATGTAAGTTTATTGACATTTTTTTTTTGGTTACATTATTTATACACCAATATATTATATTACATCATTTTAGTTAGGTACTCAATATAGTTTTAAAAATGCAACTAGATTTTTTTCCTGGCTGTAAATTTCAAATATGTGTAATGTAGTTAACCATGATTTGACATTATTGGGCTGTTATAAGCAATACAAATTACAATACACAATATAATTAGATTATTCACTCAGATAGTATTAATTCTACTAAAATTGTGATAAGTTAAAGTAAAATAAGAAGAAAATAGTATGTATATCTCCTTACGAAGAAATGAAATTAAACAAAAAAAAATATTTTTTTGTGTAATTTATTAAAAACACAC